AGGAATTAAATAAATTAGATCAAATGCACAATAATAAATTAATGTGACTTTGATTTTAGAAATTTATTAATTTTTTCAATTTATTTTGTCATTTACAATGTCAGAGTCATTTTATTTAAAAAACATTTTTTGGATATGTTTTTAATTTTTAATATTTTAAATATACTTATTTTCGCTCAATTTAATTTACATTTTCCTGGATGCACCTAAAATAGATGTTTTAAAAGTAAATTTATTCAAAGAGGAAAAAGAATGCCGTCTACTCTTTTATCGAAAATTTTTTAAAGTCATCAAAATTTTGTATCCTATATTTTACCAGTTAATAAGATTGAATTGAGTAAAAATTTATGAACGTGGGGCATTTTCCAAATTACCCTTTGTTTTAAAAAAAATTATAGGTTTACAGTAAACTAGAAGGTTTTATTGACACTGACTAAGTTTTAATTTAAACAATAAGGGTAAATCAGGAAAATTGAATCAAGAAGCGATAAAAGAATAGAAAAAAAAATAATTTGAGCTACAAGTTTTCATAATATTATCTGATACTTTACAACGTTTTCTTTGTAGTGGTTTTGCAGTATTTAAGACAAAAAAATTGACATTTTAATCTGTTAACCTTTAACTAATAGTTGCTATCTTCCAGACAAACGCCCAAAATTACTTCAATTTCCGCATGTGGTTAGACAGTTTGCTTTAATATGTCATATCATCCTCATCATATGTGCTTTAGGTTGGCGACAAATTTCATTGCAATTCTCAATTAAAAACCGCAGGCACAGTATTTCTTTTTCGAGGACAAAGCCTGAGTCACGATTATACGAATTGCAAATGATTTTAAAGACCTTGAAGATGATCGTAATAGTACATACACTGTTCATTTCCAATCACGTTACTTTTATACTTCATAAATCGAGAAAAGGTATAATAATTAGCATAAATTAACTTAAATTTATAAAGAGAAACTAAATATTTTCTATTCATAGAAGTAAGAAATTAAATATTTACTTTATTTTGATATTTTTTTCCTTTCTTAGATAAGGAATTTTATTGAGTTATAATTTATTACACCAATCAATAATAAAGATAGTTTTTCTTGCACTTATGTAATATCGATATTTAGCATTATGAAAGCAAAGTATTGATATCGATACTAACGTTTTTATAAAATCTAAAATTGAATACTGCTAGATACTTTATAATATAATTACAAAATTTAAATTTTTGTTTTAGATTACTGTAAGTGATAGTAGATTATTGTACGTGATTAGATTACTGTACGTGATAGTTAATACTTTCATCATCCGTAAAATTTATTTTTACCGTAAAATATTATATCGCATTTTTCACAGTATTATTTATTTAACTAGAGTGATTTTACTGTAATTATTAATTTTTACAGAAGTATTCATTCAATTAGAGTGATTTTACTGTAATTATTAATTTTTACAGAATTATTCATTTAATTAGAGTGATTTTACTGTAATTATTGCTGTAAAAAATATGGTATATCAGATTTTTTGTTCTGCAACATGTTCTAGTATAAATGGATTTTACGGTAAGAAATACCGGCTCCCAGAGTGTCTGTAGTTTTTACCGTAATTTGTACAGGAATTTTTTACAGTGTATGACGCTACAGCTCACAGTGACCTAGGCTAACTGAATAATGTCGTTCCTAACTCCTGCTCTTAGCCTGGGATCCAATACTTCAAAGTTTCATTGAGGTTAGATCTAATGTGACATTATCTCTTTTTTGGTCCTTCTTAGGGTCTTGAGTAGGACTGGGCTATAAATCGATATATCGCGACATATCGATTTAACGCCTATATCGGCAAACCGATACAGCAACTTTCATTCCAAGCGATACATCAGAAATGTGATTTAAGCCGTCGAGTGAAGAAGACGATATAACGATATAGCGATACACGCAAGGACTTTCTCTTACGTTCCGATGCCAACTCGCGCTGTGGAAGACGATATTGTTTCGTTATGTTGAGACGGCCTTGACTGATGAGCGGTAGAATCAGAATCACTTTTGAGACCTTATATCGTTATATCACATGTTCGTTTTCGCACCTTCGCGATTTGAAATCGTTTCTTGTAGATTATTTTCAATGGGATTAACTTCGTGATCGCCGTCGTAACCTTGTTCTGAACGCAATCTATTATTGAAAAGAATTTATAAAGAAAAGTTTCTTCATTAATTAGGTAAGTTTTTTATTTATTTTCTGACAAAACTTTTTTTATATTTTTAAATGTGAAAATTATCGGAAATCTAATTTAAGGCACCCATAAGGAATTAAATTACAAAGTAAATAAATTTGTTAGGTTATTTTTTTACTTTCTTTTAATTTATTAAAAACCTTTCGGATAAAACTTCTAATAATTTAATGGGCTTCTATTACTGATTTTAAATTTATAAATCTTGAGTTGTTTTTATTTTTAGAAATAAAGTTAAAACAAAACTTATTTTTTGGACATAAGTCAATAAACTTTATTTGTTCAAAAGAATTTGAAAAGTTTGCGAATTTTATTCATTTTTTTTTTTTTTTTTATCAATTACTACTTCGTTTTATTAGAGAGTAAAATCATTATTTTTTTTTAATTTTCGTTTTATATTATTAGTTAATTAGCTAAATATATTACCGAATATCACAATTCTTTTGTTTTTATTTTTAAGAATTTAATTAAGAAACTTTGCCTTACTTTGTTTTTCGTTCATAATTCGGTCATTATTTAATTTAATTTAATTATTTATATGAAATAATAATAAAAATAGTGTTTAAGAAGCATTTTTTTTCTAAAATTTATTTAGCTCTTTGTTTTAAGCATACAAATAATTTTTTAACGAACTTATTTTTTAAATTTTGTTCCTATGCTGTTAGGTAAATATATTGATAAATTTCACTTTTATTTATTTTTTTATTTTTAAACTAAGAAATCTTTTGTTATTTGCGTGATCATTTTTAGAAAATATAACAAAACTTGTGTTTACTTCTTCATTAAGAATTTGAACATTACGATCGAACTTAATAATTCTGTAATTATTTACGCATAATAGTACAAGCAAATATTGATTTGTTAAAAAAAGTTTTTTTTTTTAAAAAAAAAAAATATTTTTAACACTTTGTTTTAAGTGTATAATGAATTTCTTAACAAACTTTTTTTTTAATTTTTTAAATTTTCTTTCAATAATTTCAGCTAGATATCTTTATAAAATTCCCTTTTTATTTTTAAACTGAGAAATCTTTCAGAGAACGAAAATTTTAAGAAATTATTACAAATCTTATGTTTACTTTTTAGTTTAAAATTCGAACATTTTTAATTTTAAACTTCGGCTTTTAGTCAATCTAACTTTTATTTTAATTAAAATATATTTTGAAATTTTAAAATCAGCTTTTGTTTAATAACAATATTTTTTTTCATTAAGGGTGTTTTAGGGGTTAACTTAAATTAAGACTGCTTATACCTTATAAACGATAAAGAAGTGCAAATATTTCATTCTGTATCTACACACATTTTTTCAATAAATATTTTAAGTAAGATTTGTACATCTTAGTCAATTTATTTAATATCTTTCTTTAGCAAAACATATATATTTTCAAATTTATAAATTGATTTAAATCAATATGCGTATGAAGTCTTGATAGAAATCTGACTTTCTGTGCCTTAAAGTAAATGAAATTCAAAACTTTTAACATGATTGATTCGATTATATCGCGATGCAAAACTGACGATATATCACGATATATAATTTCTAATATCGCCCAGTCCTAGTCTTGAGTTAATTAGTTTCCAATTTAAGATTTTCCCATATTTAAATACATTCATTTTGTATGGTCCTGCCATGCCAAGGGTCTCAATTTTACAACTTGAATGATGGTTTTTCTATTCAATTAAATGGTCAACTTCACCAATGTCTTTATTTGTCCCTTATAAATTGTTTATTTGTATTGGTGAAAAAAAATTCTTATATATATTTTTTTTAAAAATATTAATGAGTGATTTTCATCTTTTCGTAGAATTTAAACTTTCAGAATAGTAATTGTAGTGAAATATTATCATCAATATGGATTTGTGTTTTAGTAAGTACTGTTTGCCAATTTCGGCAATTATGTAAGTTACTGCAATTGGACGAAACGATAGCACTAACAAATCATCTTCAAAAGCAGTTGAACCTAATTTCTTATTCGGATAAAACAAAATTCAACCCAAGGAAAACGTAACAAATATGAAAGACTTACGGAAGTAAGAACTTAAGAGAGAAAATAATAAATATAAAATACATTTATTACCAAAACTTCATCATATAGATGGATATTAAGATAAACTATTTTAAAGACGCTTATTCTAAATGAATTTATACTTAATATTAGTTTTTAATTATTATTATTATCTTGACAGTTTTCTTGCTATTATTTAAATGAGTTCATGTAAAAAAATTAATATCCTTAAATGAAACCTAAATAGTTATTCAGCTTAAATTTTTTAAAATTTATGAAATGTTTTTTAATTATATTTAGTTATAATTTATAATAATAAATTATGATTAGATGCAATAATTTATAATGATTAATATTATTTTTAAACAATTATTATTTAAATGAATAATAAAAAATACGAAAAACAAATTATAGTAACGAAGCAAATACTCTTGATGTTTAATATTTTAATCATATATTTAAAAAGTACTACAAATAAAAAATAAAGACGAATTTTAATTTTTGAAATCTGGAATTATGCATCTATGCTATGACACTGCCTTGATCTCGAAATATTGCTTCTGTTTTTTATAAATTTTAGTTTTTCTTTAACATTTTAATTATTTTTATAATTTTAAAATTTAAATTATTTCTTTTTTTTTTTTTTCTTTTCTAATTTTATTTTTCTTTCAGGTTGTAACAAAATAAAATTTTTTTCGAGTTTTTCTTTCAACGTTGTTACTGCTTAAAAAATTTACTGAAATAAATTTGAAAAAAAAAAAAAAATTTAAAATACATTGAGTGAAATTGATAAAGCAGTATGAATATTATGAATCACGAAACTGTTTCATTAAATATTATTCCTTCCTGACATCTTACTAATGCCTAATTTTGAAGAAGATTATGCGTACAGTTGCAAAAAAATAATAATAATAATAATTCTAGAAATAAAAATAAGTCTAACTCAATTTTAAAAAGTAAAATTGCGCAGCTTCAGTATTGTTTATGACTCACATCACCTTATATATTATTAAACAATTCGATCATTTATTCTTTTCCTCGTTAGATGGCGGTACCTCCTTGCGCGTCTTGATACTCTTCTCTTCATGGTTTTCAATGTAAACAACTAACTACAAAACAATGGCAGAGACATATGTAATTGCTAAATATGATTATAAAGCACAAAGTAATCAAGAATTAAATATCATGAAAAATGAGCGTCTTGTTCTATTGGATGACAGTAAGCATTGGTGGAAAGTTCAGAATACTCGAAACCAAGCCGGCTTCGTTCCGTCGAACTACGTCGAGAAGGAGAAACCTTCCATGTTTGATAGCATAACCAAGCGTATATTTAGTAAGAAAAGTGAACCCAAAATTGCTCCTCCGTCTTCATCAAGAATAGCTGCTGCCAAGGAAGCCGAAGCAAAAGGTATATCTCCTCGAGTTGCAACTCCTGCTGATAAAATATGCTTGAATACGACGGCAATCGTCAAATATACCTACGAAGCTCAAAAAGCCGATGAAATCTCTCTGGTCAAAGGTACAAGAGTTGTGGTCATGGAAAAATCTGGTGATGGTTGGTGGAAAGGTGAAAGCTGTGACGCCCAAATCGGATGGTTTCCGTCTAATTATGTGCAAGAAGAACCTAGAGACGCGTCCAATGTGGCCGGTGTTTCGACTCCTAGCAAGAAACTATCGGTCACCTATCAAAACATTCCATCAAATGAAGGTGAACATTTGCCAGAAATATCTCGTAATTTGCAACCAGAAGGTGAACCTGCTACAGTTACATATCAAAACGTTCTTCAAGGTAATGATTTTGTTATTACTCTCTATCCGTTTAGTTCCCAAAGCGACGAAGAACTTAGTTTCCAGAAAGGTGACCAACTTGAGATAGTGGAACGGCCATCTAACGATCCAGATTGGTGGAGGGCACGCAATAATATTGGACAGATCGGCCTGGTTCCTAAAAATTACCTGCAGATTGTGTCTCCTGGTCGAGCTGATACTGCTCCACCAAAACCAGATGAAGCGTCTGTCAATGGTGCTCAACATGAACACCCCAAGCCTGTATTAGGAGCTTGCGGTGGTTCTCCAATGGTGAAACAACGTAACAAAGGTAACAGCGACAGGCCATGGTATATTGGAAGTATTACTCGAAGCGATTGCGACAGAATGCTGAATGATTTTGCAGAAGATGGCGATTTTGTAATAAGAGACAGTGAAACCATTGTTGGTGATTACTCTGTGTCTTTAAAGGCTCCAAAACGAAATAAACATTTTCGTGTTTATATGGAAGACGGTGTGTATTGCATAGGTCAGCGACGGTTTAATTCTTTAGATGAACTGGTTGAGTACTATAAAAGAGCTCCCATATATACTGGTCCAGATGGGGAAAAACTCTATTTAATCAAAGCATTTAGAAAAGTCATTTGAGTATTTCCTCTCCTTTATTTATTTTTATACAATTTTAAACTTAATGCTCTCATTTGCATTTTTGAGAAATAAGTGTGATAATTTAGATTTTAGTGTGTGCCAAATTTTTATAATTCTATTTATTTTATTTTCTCATCTATTGAGTTTAACAAGTGTGATATTTTTTTAGTTTATTTTTCTACCCAATAACTTGATTTTTGCATTTTTTATGAACATTTTAAGTGAAAAAGAACTTCAACTGTGAAAAGGAACTAAACATGGTAAATTAGTGATAGATTTCCTAATGTTGTTTGCTGAAGTTGAATATCAAAGTATATTTTATTTGCATGCATTTCTAGTTGCAAATTATTGAAGCTTTTCTAAAGTTTAAAGTAGCTTATTGGTATTTATTTTTAAAATTTTTGTTTGAATTTTAAAAAAGTCAGCATATACATGAAATTATACTTAATACCACTTCAACATGCTATTACCAAAGTCAACCTATCGAATGTATATAACATTCCAATATATAAACATTCCAAAAAAATAGACAAAATTACTTTGTCATTGTACTTAGATAAAACTTAGATGTGTTAAACACATGGAAGTAGCTTAATACTGGATAAAGGAAAAAAGCATGTTAATTAAAGGAAAAAAGCATGCTCTTAATTTAAACTTGAATTTAGTATTATGATAATTTTTATAGTATCAGCTATTTTCTCATATAACTTTTATATGGTGATTTAACTTTTTAAATCATGTAATTAATTTGACATTTCAGACAATGTAGTTAATCCAATTAAAATTAAGGAAAATTTAGGATAATTCTAATATTTGTTCAAATATACTAAAAGAGAAATTGAAGTAATAGTTCCAAATTAAGACATTTATAGTACACCTGCTGCCATCTATGTGCGATATTTATTACTGATTTGCGTAATAAACATCTTATTAAAATTATAAAAAAGAACAATCCTATTTTATGTAATGTCAATAATTTACTTCTAAATTAAATTTAGAATGAAAAAATTTTTAAAAATGTATTTCCTAAACTTTCAAATTATAGTAACTTGAATGAAATATTTTATAATTTATTATAAAATATAAGTATTATATATGTAAGTAATTTAAATATTTTATTGAGAATTATTCTTATAATTCTCAATAAAACAAATAATATAATTTTAGTTATTTACTGATACAAAAATAACCGCTTTAATATACTAGAAACAAACATTTAAGAAATTTAATTAAGATTTTACTTTTTTTGATGAAATTTTCACTTTTATTTCATTTCATTAATTTTAATTTTTAGTGATGAAATTTTCACAATGTATCAATACATTGTGAAAATAAAATAAATATTTTATCTCAATAACCTAAGGGAACTAAAAAATTAGACTTGCAATTTTAAATTTATGATTTATTTATAATCAGGAGTCTGTCAGGGCAAATTTACTACCGTTTAGCAGTACCTTCACAAATACAACTTAAGGAAAAACGCTAATTTCGCAAATTCAATTTTAGGAAAAACGGTAGTTACACAAAATACTTTTTCTTAAAATTTTATTTTTTTATCCCTTAAGAAACGATAAATCCATATTTTTTCCGTATCTTTGTTTTGATTTTTTAATAAAATTTTTAATTTTTCACAAATTATGTCTAAATTTTCACAAAATCGGTACCTCTCAGAAAAACCTAGACCAGAGGTCGCCAAAGTGGTCTATATAGACCCCAGGGGTCTATTTAACATAAGCCGGGGTCGATCTGAGCCAGGGGGTCGATCCGAACCGGAAGGGTCGATTGGTCGAAGGATAATCAGTATTTTTCAGATATGTGACAATAAGAAATAAAAGAAGAAGACTTGGAAATGTATACAGGTAATCTTCAAAAATTGAGCGACAATTTTAAACTGCGTCTTGTTGATTTGGAAAACATTGACATCCCTGATTGGATTATTGTGCCATTTTCTGCTCAAATTGAAGACGTGGACATCAGCCTACAAGATGAGCTTGCTGAATTGTTATGGGGATTTGAAGCAAAGACGCTTTTTAAAAAATTAACAATAAGCAAATTTTGGGCAAATATAAATATAATGCAAAAATATGTAAGACTTTACGAAATAGCTCAGCCATTTATGATAGCATTTCCAAGTTCCTATATGGTTGAAGCCGGTTTCAGTCACGTAAATTCAATCTTAACTAAGAACAGAAATAAATTAAATGTGGAGTTTCGAGGGCATTTAAGATTAAAATTGACCAATTTTGAACCCAATATAACGAACCTTGCTGAAAAAAACACCAGGCACACCCATGTCATTTATTAAGAAGCAATAAGTCCGTTGTTACTTTACTTTTTATTTCTGCTTACTTATAATTACTTATTATTTCATAAATATTAAGGTATTTATATTTCAACATTAATATATTTTTCATGAAACTATTGTTACACTATGTACTATTACTTTAATAAATGTTCAAAATCATAAAATAAATATACAAACACAGTATCTAATAGAGTTTTATTTTAATTAACAGAAAATTACTTTTATGGGGGTCGATGGAGTTTTCGAAAAATTATCTAGGGGTCGATGATCAAAAAAGTTTGGCAACCCCTGACCTAGACAGACCCCTGATAATGTAGTGATGGTATATATAGGTATATATAAATTATGATTTATGTATACTCAAAATATATGTTCTCTAAATAACTTAAAACAAATGCATGCAAATTTTAAAAAATAAGAAAAAGTCATTGTATCTTTTTTATTACATAAATATTTACAAATTAAAAACAGTTTTTTTGTTTTGCATTTAAATATAGAATATTTTTCAAGATATTATATGCATATTTATACAACAGAAAATGCTAAAATTGCATTCTCATTTTTATTTATTTAATTTACTTATTTATTAATGTTTATTTATTTTTTACGTGTATCTATTCATCTCTGTGCTGTGCATGCTATTCAATAAAATGTTTACATAAACGAAGGATTTATTTTATTTTATGTATAAAAACACATTTTAAACACTTTTCTTTCTGCTCATTGTAATTTGTTATAATTTGTTTAGGGGTAAATACTTATGTATTTTAAAATCAATTGAATAATTAATTTATTTATTATATAACAATTAAAATTAAAGTAAGTACTGAGTCTAATACTTACCTAACTAAACCTGGCACTATTTTTTCTAACTACTTAAATAAAATTATTAAGAATATTATTAAAAAAAGTTTTTCTCGGATTATCTCAAATAATTATCTCTGATTTTAAAAATTTATTGAGCAAAATAAAATATTTCTATTGTGATTTTTGTTTTCCAGGATCTTTTCAATAGCATTCCCCTTTTTAAACTAAAAGATGTTCTTTTGAGTTATTAATATGATTTAAAAAAAAATCTTTAAATGCGATTTGGATTATTGGGGAATTTTAATTAATTTTTATCTTTTTAATAATTATCTTTACAATGGAAAACATATTTTTATTCAAATTGCTGTAATCTACCACAAGGATCTAATTTTTCTTCTCACTTATCTAACTTATTTTTACACTATTTATGAAAAAAATTCTGCTCTTAATATTAAATTTGCTTTTAGATTCATTGCTGCTTTAATTAACTTTAATTTTCAAGATTATACAATTTTGTTAAATAATATTTACCCCAGGGAAATAATCTTGCTTCCTAATCATGATGACAATATTAATTTTAATTTTTTGGATTTGAGTATTTAAAAGAAGCTGATCAGCTATCTGTTTTGTTGATTTATACAACAAAAGAAAAAATTTCTTTAAGTAAGTTAATTACTTGGAATTCTAATGTTTCTAAAAATATTTATTTAAATATCGTTTTTAATCAAGCGAATATAATTAAAAGAATATGTAGCAATGTTTTCTTATCAAAAAAAAAAGGACAAACTCTTTCAAAATTTGATAAAAAAAAACAATGGATACCCAACTAATGTAATTAAATTATAAAATCATTGAGTTATTTGTATATTATTATTAAAAAATTTACTAAAATCTTCTTTATTAAATTATATTTTTACCATGTGTAAATCCAATTACAAATATGTGCGGCTAAAAATCTGTGCAAATACATATTTCTTTTTTTGAATAAATGTTAATTTTCTAAAATCATTAAAATTGTATAGTTAAATATCAACCTTATTAATTACAAGCTTTAAATTATCCAGTATAATATTATTACATTACTTTATCGCAATAAATAAATAAATTGAAGACAAAAAATATTTCTATGTAATGTACTTTTATTAGAGTCCTATTGCTGGGTTACAGTTACAGTTGATCGTTCGGTGGAACATAGAACTATTAAATGTAAATACATACATCAGTCAACTGAATCGATTTTTTAAAAATTGAGTTTGTTTAGCTTGAAAGTAATAGTTTGACATGAAAATTTTACAAAAAATTCGATATTAGTATAAGATGATGTAACTGAGTAGCTATTTCGAGAAAAGCAGTTTCTCATCGATTTTCTTTCCCTTGCTAAAACTATCAGCTCTTAAGTGGATTTTGAAAAACCCTATACAAAGAAATTGATTTTTTAATTTTGATGACGATGGCTGGTCCATATCAATTCTGCAACCATCTCTCACCGACCGTAAAATATTCCCAGTGGTTAGACGGATCATGGGTTAGATTCCCCTTGATCTCGATCTAACCGTGAGAGGTATGTATTCGTATTTTTCCTCTCCAAGTTACACCAAAGCTGAATCGTTACATCAAAAAAGTTCCCAATGTTTGATCCAGGAATTTCCTAGTTTTCTGAGTTGGGTTCAGAATTACAAGGCTGTGGAGTTGTTAATCGTAAAAACAAAATTGAATCGGTTGTTCAACGACAGTTAATAATATAATCACCCTGCATTATATGGGCTAAAAAATAAATAAATACATCGTGAAAATTGAGAATTGTTTATTGAATGTAATAATTTTCATTTATGTGGAAAAATTTCGCCAAATTGGCGATTTCATGAAAACAATTAAAATTTTTTTTAGAAGTATTTAGAGTTTATGTCCCTTTTCGAATCCATACCATACTCGAAAATACAGTACATAACAGTATAAGAGTAAAGCTGAACTTCAATTGTAAGGTACCCAGTCCGTGGCTTTAATTTATTTTACTTGGCGAAAGATTTTTGAAGAACATTCTTTAAACTGTTTTTAAATACAATCTGAACAGAAGTAGCAGGCAATAAATTAATTTCGTCTTCAGCTTCCTCCACGGGAACCTAACTCAAAATTAGAAATACGATTGCCGGGTAAGCCAAACCCAAGGACAAACATCAATCAATTAATACCCTCTAATTTTAGATGGGAAAAATATTTCTCCCAGCCTAACAAGACCCGAAGGACGACCATGAAAATGGGGGCCCTAAATTGACTCGTGGACATTTTTAATACTCCTAAACAATTCCGGGTCATGGACTTATCACTTAAAAGTGATAATACTGATAATCTCAGCAAGTAACAATATTTATGGGCTTTTTTGAG